AGTGGCAAGTGGCACGCTTACCACGCGAGCGGTCCGGGGATCAAATCCTGGGTCGTGAGTCGCCAACCAAGCCTTCCATCCCTCCGGGGTCGGTTAATTGGTACCAGACTTGTCTGGGAGGATAAAAACACTGACTTGTACATCGGCTGGCCCCGCAAGTCATTGTATAGGCCACATCGCATTCAAACGCCACTACGAATGTACAAATGGAAGTAGAATGCGTGCCGCATCCCAAAAAGGGATTGATCAACGGCAAATGCTTTATCCTTTATCCTTTAATTATGGAACACCCTGTGCTTGAGCTTATCATGGTTGTCGCTTTTATTTGCTCGAGGTTGATAATGGGTTTGGTAATGTGGTGGATGGGTGGGATGTGATGTGTCCGGTCTTGTGTGAGGAGGTTGCTCGCCAAGACTCTTCTACGAGTTGCCACGCGGAATTGAACCTCTGAAGTGCTACAGTGCTTAGTCTAAATATTTATTAATCTAACCGAACACTAACGAATCAAATCTGCCGTCCGAATATTGGATGTTGATATTGGTAGCCGCCGGATATTGATTGTATTGATCGAAGCCGGATATTGGGTATTGGAGGTGAAGTGCCGGAGATGACCAGATGGAGGTCGGAAGACGATGAGCCACTATGGCAATGAGCCCCGACTGAGGAAAGCTCCCGCTATTTATACCCCTCGACCGGGGTCGCTGGGATCGATATGTGTCTGAAAGAATGCGGAGTTAATTGAAGTCTCACGTAAACAATGCTGGTATGTTGCGAATGATGAGTCACTACAACTTATCGGTGGTCAGTGAGGCCACGCCTCCCATTTCGCTCGGCTCGGCGGCATCAAAGAACGATCAATGGTACTGTCGAAGCTGCGGTCAATGAGGCCACGCCTCCCATCTCGCTCGGCTCGGTGACATCAAAGAACGATCAGTGGCACTGTCGAAGCTGCGGTCGATGAGGCCACGCCTTCCATCTCGCTCGGCTCAGCGGCACCGAAGTGCAATCAATAGTACAGTTATCATTGCATCTGCCTAAACGAAACAAGACAACAAAACAATAACATTGCAAATATTGCAGCAGTTGCTACGTAATGTATATTCCAGTTTTTCAGCACATGGGGTTTATCGCATTCAAGCTGTGCGACATCATAAAACTTATGAATTTACAAGATGGAAAATTACAAAAGTAGGCCATCTTATTGAAGACCTCAGTGGAGATCCTGTACGTGTATCTCGTTCTTTGGTGAGTTCAGGAATCAAGCCATGAACAGTATTGTTTAAGTAAACAGTAACAATATTGTATGTGTCTCAGAATATAGTCAAACTTCAAAACGTTTACGAAAAATGTCGATTGTCTTGTTCCAGCGTACGTCTCCACCTTCGTCAAAACAATCCGTTCGAAAAGGGGAGGGAAATTATAATGGGATCCGTAGTCGCTCTGCCGGAAAAGGTGGGTCGTTGAGTTAGTCGACTTCAGCTCTCACTAAATTTTGCTCCCTTGAGCTCATATGGCGCGATAGAGATGACTATCGGGTGACATCATCTATTGCAATAACACGCAGTCGCAATTATGTGTAACAACTTCAATACATCTATGTGTACTGACTTTTTTATGTGTTGACAAATGTGCACAGATAGAAATGCACAGAAGTAGTGCAAAGAAGATGAAGAAAATCTCATCAATTTGTGTCGAGCAAAAATGCAGTGCGTTCAAAAGTGTTAAAGCTTCCCTGTATACAAACTGTTTCGAGTTAGGATGACGAACTTATGGCTTGCTCTCTACTTTGTTGAATTCAGCTTGCACGAAACTTTTACCTTTACCTTTTACCTTTTACGCGATTTGTCTTCAAACATTCTCGTATAACTTCGTATAAATCGGACCTTGTCATCGTCTCTGTCTTGTCTGTTGTGCATGTGACCAATATCGTAGACTGTAACCATCGCACCATCTCATCTTCGGATGACCCACAGGGCGTTTGCATCCTCGAGGGTACCACTCGGTTAATCTTACTGTCCATCTGTTATCTTTACATCTTGTCACGTGTCCAGCCCATGATTGTTTCTTTCGATATATGGTTTTGACAACATCATCAACGTTTGTGCGTCTTCTCAGCTCTTCGTTGTTTACTCGGTCTCTTAACGAAATCTTGCACATCCTTCTTTCCATATGCCTTTGTGTTACAGCTAATTTTTTTTCATCGTTTTCCGTTGTCGCCCAGGTTTCTGCTGCATATGTGAGGGTTGGTAATACCATTGTGTTGAAGAGAGTTGAACGATCTTTCATTGCTAGTTCTTCATCTGTAAGGCTTCTTTTGTATCTGCCAAAACTTGTCCGAAAAAACTATTCTAGCCTCTCGAATATTTTTCGATCCAGAATAATCATTCCCGTTTCGCAGTATTCGGTTGTCATGCCGCATTTTTTGTTTTTTCTCTCTGGTGAATCTGTAAACCAACTTTCGCTGCTTCTACTTGTAGATCCCTCAATTTCCTCTGCAGCTCCATTGTTGTTGTTGCGAATAATATACAATCGTCCGCATATAGAAGATGTGTGAGCGTTTCTCCATCTATTTTGACTCCCTCATTCCATTCCAAATTTCGGAATACAGCATTAATTACCACAGAGAAAAGCTTCGGTGAGATACAGTCCCCTTGTCGTACACCTCTTCTTAGGTCGACTTCACATTCTTCATCGATTGACATTGGTAGTGCTTCCTATATACATTTCTCTGCTATATTTGACGAGATATTGTGGAACTAATTCCCTATCATTTGACGAAGGGAGTTAAGAATTGCATTCGTCTCCACTGTGTCAAAAGCTTTCACAAAATCCACGAAAAGGCAGCATACCGGCAATTGGAATTCTCTACTTTTCTCAAGCAGTTGTCTCAAAGCGTGGATGTGATCAATTGTGGAATAGTTTTTCCGAAACCCTGCTTGTTCCCGATCTTCATTCTGTTCTATATCCTGTGATAATCTATTGAGCAATAACTCTCGTGGAAGTTTTGTACAGGGTGGCCAAAAAAAACACTCAGCCCATGGCGCACATCATCGAACTTTTCGTCACACAGGGAGCCGATGTTAATGAAAGTTTTATGGCGTTATATTCCTTAGTTGTTCCTCCGTAAACAGAAGCAAGCACTCCTTCACTGCCCCTGCCGTCTCCAGAATATGACGTCATCTGCCGTCACCGTCGAGCTCAACGAGGCTTACCGAAATCGCTCCGACCTGAAGCTGCTACACAATTTCCTCAGTGAATTAATTGTTGAATAGCTTCCCAGAGACATTAGCTGTGAATGTGCAAAACCGCTTTTGACCTGCGTTTCAGAGACGTCGTAATCGTCTATGGTATCTCAACGACCTCGTTGAGATCGTACCGCGCACAATGCTTCCGTGGGAAAATCTTCTGATGTCGTCGGTGTAGAAGGCTGTTGTGTAGCTTGTTGATAGATTATAACGTGCTCTTCAATATTCAGTTGGAGGGGTCATTTGGTTTGGTTTCGCGACGCGTAAATAATTCCGTTTTGAATGTTGAATGAAGTGTCCCTTTTTTTTGGCCACCCCTGTATAGCTGAGATAACAGCGAAATCGGGCTGTAATTACTTATTTCTTCTTTATCACCTCTTTTGAACAGAAGAATTGTCGATGATTTTTTCCATTCACTGGGGAGCTTGACTTCTTGAGCATATACTGAATCTTCGAGCAAGCGATTTTGCTAATGTGGTACCTTGCACGAAACTACGGTTCGTTAATTTCAGAAGGCAATACGAGCTAGAATCAAATTTATACGAAAATTTCAAAATTCTAACTTCTTTCTGAAGTATGAAGGCAACGTGGGCAAGAGGAGCTAAGCAGTAAAATTTCTTTCACTTTCTATTAATTTGGGATTCTGAGTTTATACTTAGTGAAAGCACATTACCTCTGCAATAGACCTGAACTGTGCAAGCTTGTTAGGTTGTCGCAAAAGTCTGACCATTTTTCAATGTTTTCAACTGATCACTTCTTACAACCGAAGCAAGTACGACCCCCCCTCTACAAACTCACCAAAATACGACCCCCCCCCGTTGCTACTTGTAGCAACATAGGGTTGACCCTGGTCTGCAAGTGATTCCACATACAGGGTAGTGAGTACTTTCATTATGGTGACCAATTCATGCTTTATTCAGTTTTTGTCATTTTCAGAAGAGAATAAGTTTGTTAAGCGTGCTGGATAGCAAGAGCAATTTAATAGTATGGTGAATTGGTTCCGCCGTAACCACGTCCACGGTGGGGTGCTCAGGGTTGCATGTTATCGATTTGTTTTCAACGTCCTCTGCTTTCGTTCGTGAGTGAATATCGTCGCCTGCAGCCTTTCCACTACTGACGTCCTCGGGATCAGCCCCAGATTGGCCCACATGCAGTTGGATCTGAATCCCACAGGAAACATCTGGGGAATTATTATGAGGCAGACTACGCTGGTGGCAATAGGAAAATTGTTATGGAAGGGGCGTGCTCTCGAGACACGCATCCTGGATACAGTTCGTTTCTAGTAAGCTCAGATCGTCCATGGCCCATCGAAGAGGTAGTTCGCTCTTGCTAAGCCCTCAGAATCGCAAATGATTTGACAGGAAAAAGAAACTTGACTGCCAAAGTCATCTTGCTTGGGAAACCTTTCCTTTTGAGACGGAGCACTTCAATTTCTTCACACAAAAATATTTGTAGCTCGTTTTACTTTGAAATAAAATGCGTCATGGTTTTAGAGCACAATTAATTTGATCAAGTGAGTGGCAAGCCATGAAATCTTTTCCTAACTAGAAACAACTGTTTTTGCACAATGTATAACAAAAGTTTAAGTTTTTTTTTCGGCTGTGAACTTGAATGCAAAATTAAACAGCAAGCAGGAGAAAAAGAACAATAAAGCAATCAGGTGGCTTGTATAGGTAAAGATTTCAGAGGGAGTTGTTTATAGGCCATACTTCTGAACGACTTGAGAGGATTGAACGAATCGTCATCGGTGAAATATTTTAGGATTGAACGGGATCGTCAATCGTTCTGTGTGAATATTTCAGGGTCCCGTCGAGGGAGTGGCGAGATCTGCTAAAACTCGCAATAATCTTCATGACTCCGGAGTTGCTGATGTGCTGGAGGTATACAGTCTCACGGTTCTTTTTGCAGTAATTTCAATTAGATACCGTTTATCTTTTGCGTGTAGGATAGAATTCTGCCTTGACATGCATTTCTTGTCTCTTAGTTGCGGGTTCATGATCTACGTACTACACTGCGACGCATAATTATAGTTCCACCTACAAATTTCCCAAAAAACTTGAATCTGGGATGTTTTTGGAAAAGGCTCTACAGATAAATTGTGACACATATAAACGCGAATCTGAATATTAACACGGAAATCCAGTTTGAGAAAGCAACAATTTTTTATCCTTTTTTTTCGAAAATATCCGCTTTAGCTTCTCCGCTGCATTTTGCTTTTACCCAATCAAAATTTGGAATTATTATCCATTCAAGTTCCTTAGCTTATAGCGGCGAAGGCAAAAGTATGGTGCACAGCCTCAAAATTCGTTTGAAAGGGAACCATGAGGTTTCGTGCTATGAAATCCTTCTCAATCGATTTCTCGTAGTCGATAACCTATCAGTGGAAGCAAAACAGATAATATCGCCTCACTTTCGGAAAAATTTTTTGGATGAATTTTTTTCTTTGTTTCAAAAGTATGTGCACACTTGAAGAAGATCAGATTTTGGCGCCGAATTTCCACCGATTTCAATCCGACTTTGCTGTTTTCATTTCGTCATCATGTCAATTCGCGCCATACTTCTTCCTGAAGATGAGCAAGCTCAGATCAAGGTTCTGCATGATAATGAACGTTCCAATCTAGAAATCGCACGATAACTTGGTCGTTCTCCTTAATGCATTCGAAGATTTATCTGGCACCCTGATAATTATACTCAGCACACACTCCGCTCCATCCACGATCCTTGACTGCTCAGAACAACAAAAGAGTAGCCCACATCCTGTCGGATTCTTCATTGACAGTCCGAGCTCAGATTTTTATTCCAGCCTCGAAAATGACCACTAAGCCCCTCATCCGCTCGAATGAATACACCACTCGACAGACGCTGAGAGGCTTATCTTATCAAGCCAGCAAGTTAGCCACATTGGAGCTGCTCGTACAGACACGGCAACATAGGATAGGACACCGGGAGAAGACACGCTTTTTTTCGAGAATTTCCTATTTTCAAAACAAGCAACTTTTAATGAACTTTCTCTCCTCAGGTAATCTTAACTCATGGAAAGAGTTCGATCTTGACGGGCCGGGTGGATTTTGCTACTACTGGAGAGGCTTGGCCGAGAGTCGCTTCGTGCTCTCGAGAAGGAATTTCGGAAGAGGCCCGTTGATGGGTCTGCGGCGGTTTCGCAATCAGCGGAAATTCAGAAGTTGCCGTTCCATTATTGCGTATGAACTGTAAAGAATACCAAGCAGTGCTCCAATGTCACCTGTTGCCCTTCCTTAGCGAAGCGGAGCGAAAATTGCATTTTTAGCAACAGGACCACGTGTCTTTCGATGCTTCGCAATCTACCAAAGAATGGCCTTAACCAAATGGTGCTGAAGCGATAGATTGGCTTGTGTGTCCTCACTGCAACCCTATAGGGAGCCCTTGATCAAGGCGTTAACTTTAGCAACCGGCAGTATAATACCGCGGATGAACTGAAGGCGGCGGTAGAGGCTATTTGGGCCGACAGCGACGAAACAGCTATGCCAAACGTGGTTCAGATTATGCCGGACAGGATGTTTGAGCTAATTAGAAACTCTGGAGGCCCCACTGATTTCTAATCTCAGCTATGTTTTTGTCTTTTGTTAAGTGTGCACATACTTTTGAAACAAAGAAAAAAATTTCATCCAAAATTTTCTTTCGAAAGTGAGGCGATATTATCTGCTTTGCTTCCATTGATAGGTTATCGACTACGAGAAATCGATTGAGAAGGATTTCATAGCACGAAACCTCATGGTTCCCTTTCAAACGTGAATTTTGAGGGTGTGCACATACTTTTGAAACGCACTGTAGTAAGGCAGAAACGCTTCCAACTTCACGTGAAAAGGAAAATCCTAGCAAAAGAGACGCAGGAATTGTCAAAGTGTCAGCTCCGCTGGATTTTGTCGGGGTCGGGGGTGACTTCATAACGAACAAATTTCTCAAGGATGCTACAGGATATGACTGGGAGGAACCCTGATTACTATCCGACTGAGATAAGCGCCGTATCGTGAGAAAATGATATCCAGCCGGGTACTGAAATTGTAGGTGGAACTATAATTATGCGTCGCAGTGTATGTTTACGTGTTGAAGTGTTACTATGCAGAGCAGTGTAAATTCACTTTGGAAGATACAGTCCATATCTAACAGTTTGATTAGGCGCTTGTTAGGAGACGCTTAGATAAGCAGCGTCCAACGCATTTCGTTGGAACTCAGCAAAACACGGTGAAAGCAGCTAATCTGGCGACATCTATCAAGTGCTATGGCCGCCACGTTCAATCCGTAGACCCAACTCGACAAGATATAAACTGTGCATTCTTCAGGAGGGAAATGGCTCCGGAGGTCGTGCATCTCCTTCGTGTTACCGAGAAGAAAAGCCAACTCCGAAGGAAGATTTAGAGGTGATTCTTCGCGTTGCTTTCCTACATGGGATTTTGGAGTCGCTTCCAACTACACTTCTTACTCATATCGCCTTTCAGAATACATTACGTATCTATCTACATAGATGCCTAGAATCGGTTAAAGTCCGAGCATCCATAAAGCAGGCGGATTCTGCATTTTTCGACGCACTTGTGGCTACTCTAATGCGTGTTTAGTTGCAAAAAAGAGTAGCCTTCATCATTGGGGCCACATTCTTGCGATTATTTACCAAATTTTAGAGTCCTCTTATAAGTTCTAATAAGATATTGCTTGTTGATCGAGGCCTGTTGATTGTGCCTTCTACCGACTGTCGTTTCCTTATTGCATCGGGATACTGCTTATCATTACTTCTATCTAGTGTATTTATATTACTACCACGCTTCTCAATAGCCAGCATTTGTAGATGAAGTGTGATGTAGTGATTTTTATTCAGTTTGTAAACGGTTTTCTCTCCGTTATGGATTTCCATTGAAGGTAATGTCCGTTCTTTCTATCCAGTCCACGTTAGGTTGGACGAAATATTATACTGGAGCAGTGCGGTTATATCTTGTCATACGTTTGTACCAACTCTCGTAATCCATTTGTTCTGTAGGACCAAGGGCACGGGCAAAAATGGACATGTGAAACGTATAGAATTTTCAAACCGTTCAGCTTGTCTTCGCGCCAACATTGCGGTACAAGTATTGGTGATCAGTATTCAAATCAATCGCAATTCAAAGGTTATCGTGCCATTATAGGCGTGCTCATGGGTAATGTATCTGGCAGCACCGGCACGACTGCCATCCTTTCTTTTGCTGTTTGTTATTTCCATCACCAGCACCTGCAAGACTCGAGCGACAACACAATGTTTTACAACTTTCTCTTTTCCTGTTGCTGTTCTGAAATCTGCATGGTATGCATAAAAGGACCAGGCCTGTCGACGCTCGTGGTTGCTTAAAGGAAGTGGTCACGATAATTCTCTTGGGAACGATAAGGAACGCCGTGTACTGGAGTGGATAGGGGTCCTGCTCAATGTTACAACACATGAAGTTTCGGCGTGATAAGGCGCCGAAAATCTACTTCCGGTTAGCTAAAACCCAAGACTTATCGATGTGGAAAGGGCTGCGTGCTGATATGATACCGTTATCGTGATTGTCCGATTTTCATTCTAGAGTGTACTTTATTCTTAGCAGCCGCATCTCCTTATCTTATGATATCGTATCTTCTAGGGGGTAACGCTCGTCCAACATAATCTATCTCAGACCTTATCGGTTGATAACGCGAGGGTAGCAAATCCAGCGTGGAAGCCAGCGTGATCGCTTCCTTTAAAACTGAGAGAAATGCGCCTATTTGGTAATCCATCTTAATGAGGCCACACTCCACTGCCACCCTCCTTCAGTATTGCTGTGCTATGTGGCATGTTTGTTCTTCAAACTCTAGGCGCTTTGGCTGGGCTCTGATACGTACCTATTGTGGCTCCTTTGCAGATCATGCAGGACATCGCGGCAAGTATGCACACCGTTACTTTGTTATTCATTTTACTTTGAGCATGCACAACTTTCTCCGAAGTTTTCTTTTGTGTTCATTCTATAGAACATACATTGAAATGATTATGAAGGGCATGCTTTATAAAACGATCCAGTATTTCTTGTTTCAGCAGAGGTATTCCAAAAATTATGAAATTATTGACTCAGTTTGTCCACCACTCACGGATGACAAAACCGTGAGAGGCAGCCCGGAATCAAGGCTCCAATGGTGGCCTCTTCTCTGCCCGTTGACTTCCGTATTAATACGACTCCCGTTGCTGCTGCCCTCTTCAACGCAGACGCTCTCTCACTCTCTCACTCACTCTCTCTGCAAAGCTGCTAGTCAGACGGCGAAGGATCACCTACTGGTGGCGTGCACAGACGCGAGCGGCGCTGGTACGGCCCTGCTAGGCCGTTGTGATATAATCTTTGCAGCACAACGGACTTCGCTCACACGCTTAGGGGCCCGCCTAATTTCGGCTAGGTATATTTCCCCTTCTTCGACTTCCGAACACATCGTGGAGTCACCTTAACGGTATGGTGAAATCACCGAAGGTATGTTCTAATATAGGCCAAGCTTGAGTGCCCTTTAGTAGCCCGTTTTCATCCTTTAAAAGCCCTCGCGATATGACGATATTCCTATTTTAAGTCTACTCTGCTCACAGACAACGATCTGAATTTTTCGGCTACACTTGTCCTCTATAATTTTACAAATGGAAAAATAAAATTACAAAGCAGTTCTAATGGCCCCGACTCGTCTTCTGTAGTGGGGTCGCCTAAAGATGAAATGCGTGTTTTATTTATTATGTGCTCTTTTCCGTTTGAATCATAATCATTACGTGTAGTTTTGCTTAATGCTTATAGGTCACTCTTTGTTTGGTTTTTTTTGTTTACATGCATTTCAGTGTGTTGAAGCCGTTTTGTTATTTTACTCCACATAATATATTAATAATAAGTCAAAAGTGCTCTCTGTCTGCATGTACTAGTTGGATGTGTCGAATGGTATTCGAAAGTGTACTTTTCACGAATTCTTGCGTTTTGTGTTTTGTTTTGTGTATCGATGATGGTCATAGATAAGCATGCAGTAAAGATTTGGAGAGATTTCTTGTTAGTGATATGAAATACAAGGAGATCCATCACTTCGAAGAGTTATGCTCGCACTTGATCGTGTACTTCCTTGTGGGGGTTAGGAGTTTACAAAATATTTCATCATTGGAAGTGATTTTATTTTTATTGGGGACAAAATGTTAAGGTAGGTTGCGTCCATTGAGAGTTTCGCAACAGGGCGCTGTTTTTGAAAGAGCGTAAGGAAGGGAACGAGTCGTGTTTTGAGGCTGTGATCTTCTTTCGGAATAGATATTTTGTTGCAATTTTTACGAGGCAGGAATACCACGAAGGAGGAAAATATGTGGAATCGGCTGTTCCAGGAGCTGTGATATTTTAACCCTATAGGTTGAATCGATGTCGTTCTGAAGGAATATTTGGGGCTGATCCAAAGGGCAGTTGCAGCTCAACAACATTTGTGAATTTGCAGAAAGAGGGAGCCGTGGTTTTGGAACCCATTCCAAAAGGATCGTACCGATTCCAGAACACATGTGTTAACCTAGTTGAAGATTTTCTGCGTAATTGTGATGTTCTGCGCTCTCAAAATCGAAATGTAAATTTTAGCTTTTCCCGTACCTAACGTACTGAATGGAATGGAGCTTAGATCATCCGGTACAGGAGGTGCGAAACAAGCTGTTCCGTTGTGTATGTAGAGAGAGTTGATATTATGCGTCACTGCAAGACGCAGTAGTGAGCATTCGTGGTGTGATGGTTATCATGGCTGCTCCCCATGCATTCGTGGAGATCGGGTCCCCCCCCCTCCCCCGCAACGGTGGTTTTTGGAAAACAAATCGGTAACCACGCTGCCCGGCGTAATGATACTTCCACCTACAATTTTCCAAAAAAGTTCCAAATTCCCCGCAGGTGATGGCGGAGGCAAAACCGCTGGCAAGCTTCTTGGAGGGAAAATCTTAGCAAAAGTAGCGCAAGAATCGGTGAAGCGTCATTTCATGCTACGTAGTATTTGGTTGAGG